CACTTCTAAAACTAGAGCAAGCCCAAAGTATGTTAGCCAAAACCCAGTTTTGTCAATCAGCATAGCCACATGCACACTACTGGCTTTCACCAGCACTGGCATGTGGGTTAGATGCCACATCCCATCCTTTTATGCATGAATAAAAAGGAACTGCTAGGCAAGGACACCACCACTGATGGGCTTCGATGTCATCAAACTGTATGTTATAAATCTAAGACAAGCATTTCTCAGAAATTGTATGAGAACTGAGTGATCAGAAAAGAAGTTCTACTTCTGAAAAAAAACAGCCAGCAAAGAGGAAGAAAAGTACACATCTCCTTGCAAGTCTTTGCTATTGTTGGGACTCATGACACAACTTGTTTAAACCAACCTAGAGTTTTGCACATGCAAAAATGCATCTCCATTTCCTCCTCCATCTCAGACTAGGAAAATACAAGGAGGACCCAAATTTGCCATAGGAAAAGGAGGTGTGATGGAAGTACAGCATGGGTTAAAAGACTGGAAAAGTGAGCAAGACCTAAAAATTTTTTGTTCTTCTAACACTTCTTAATCCTGATCTAACAATTTACTCAGCTCAAATTAGGTGGAATTTATGTTTCATTGAAGTTCATTTTTATTCCCCACAGTTTTGTTAGGGTACCTTATATGCGCAAAATCTTGACCAGAAACATTAAGATGTTCATATTGGGAATAATTCTGTTAGACAGCTGTTCACCTAGTCCAAAATCCTATCAGATTCTGTAATCAGTACTATATATGTCAGAGGAAGATGAAATCATTGATGCGTCTGTCAACAGGGAAGACATCTTCCTAATCCCCTCAGTAAATAATATATCTATTCTGAAACCTTATAATCTCTTTATTTTATGTAGTGTAACTGTGGACATTCTCATTATGGATACTTAATCCTCTCAAAGATGATAAACTTCTGGCCTCAGTAATAGTACTGTGGTATTAACTTCCTTATGCTGTGTGTTCTGCAAAGAAGCATTTCCATTAAGGATTTTTATACGTATCTCATATTCACTGTATGATCTGTGCTATATTATTGTGAGAAAAGGGCTCTTCTGTTCATCTTTCTCTCCACTGTTCTTCACATTGTTTGTAGGTTCATCTACAGGTAGATAGTCAGGAAAGTTGATATGAAGTAAATGGATGTTTTAATTAAATTTTAACGGATTAGTTTATCTACAATGTTAAAATGGATAAATTATACTACATTAAATCCCTGTATGGACATACACATTCAGAATTAAAATGGCCTTAATACAATTTAGCTCACTTTGCTTCAAAAGTAAATGGAGATAAACCAAGGGAAAGCCACTTATATTTTGAGTAACAGTATTTACACAGTGATTCAATGTAATTCAACTCATCATTTTAAATTCCCGTATTTTTTCACTTCAATCTTTTTTTCCAGAGTGTTCCCGTGTAAACAGGTCTTCAAGTTGTCATCATCGTTTTAAATCTCCCATCTTGTTCTCTATTTCCATCCTTGATATCCAGTCATTTTTGCCATTATGTGGATCCCTTTTATTTTACCATATCTTTTAGGGGTAGCATAACCAGGATGAAATAACTGCCAGATTAAGAGTGCTTCTTCGGTAAAGACCATCACTGCAATAATCTTTGTACACTTGTATATGTTGCTGTTTAATATAAAAACAGGGAAGACATTAGTTAACTCTGTGTGGATTAAGCACCTATATTTTGAAGTCGTCACAATAGTCACTTCAAGTCTTTTACTTAAAAGCTCCTGTTAATATGGAATCTAGTGTAAGCAGCAAGAAATAATTTTCCTTAAAAAATGCAAGAGTCCTGTCTGAGTCTGTCCGAATCAATGTTTAACAGTGTAAAAACTCTTAGTCTCACCAAAAGCAGCCCCATAGCCATACAAAATGAATGGATAGCTTTTAGCTCCAGCTTGCATGAACTGTGTCCACATGTCCACAAAACCAGTGATACATCCCTTAGTAATGTCAGCAGAGAACAGAGTTCATACCTCCAGTAGGTTTAGGGTGAAGCCACCCTGGTCTGTGGCTGCACCATCAGGAACTATACTGCACATAAATAAGAGTAACCCATTTTTCCAGTGTACTAGGTCTGTTAAACCCAGCAATTTCAGGAGTGAATACTTGCTTCCTAACAACTGGAGATCCCCTTTTAGATCTTTAATTGATTGGAATAGCCCTGGATAAACTGGCTCACAGAGATGCAGCAGTATTATGGGTGATGCAGGGCAGATTACTCCCTGGGCAGATGATGCCAGGGAGGGTTGGGAAGGAAAGCAAGTGTAGCCAATGAGGCAGAATAGGCAAGCTGTCACACTCTGTGTTTCTGCTTGTTGAATCTGAAAGCACCTAATTAGTTATCTCATCTGCTAACACCTCCAAGGACAACAATGACAAGAGGATTCCAAGAATATGTAACCCATGGGAATGCCCATAGATAGACTTGCTGTAAACTTTAATGTAGTCCCTGGGGCCCTGGTCTTCAGTGAAACCTTGTGTGCGCTTGTGTTTATTTTAAACAAGCATGCACGTACAAATAAAGACCATCACTTGTTGCACCTTTGGTTAAAGGTCAGGTCTACTCACATCTGCAGTATGAGCATTTGTTAATGAGTAAAGCACTAGCAAAATCACTTCCTTACCAGAATTTGGTGAGTTTCAAAAATTAAGGACATTTATTTCAATTTTTTCCACTCTGCTTTTAACCTCACAGTTAAGGTCTTCCCCAGTAGAGCCTTGTCCAAATGGATCCAAGAGACAACCATTCCCAGACCATCAGATAGTTCAAGTATGTACTCTGCCACATCCATAAGGTCTAGGCATGGAGCTCTGTTAAGTTTGTAAAGAGATTTAAATTTGATTTAATTTTAGAATAGTATTATACGCTGCTTCATCTACTGGCTAACAGGCATTTCAACTGTTTTGCACCTAACAACAGACCCTCATACCACATTTTTTAAACTCAGCTGCTTGGTAGGAAATTAGTCATGTTTACTAGGATCTTTAAAGAGAACTTGGCTATAAAACAAATCAGAACTGAGCTGGGACTAACCAGGGTAAAGGTTGCTTATATCTGCAGATTACCCCTCTCTGCTTTTCTAATTCACTCACCATGCCTTATCTTTCCATTAATCTTTAATAAACCTTTTAGTTAATTCCCCAAACACACACAATCTACATGACAGCAGGATACAGTGCAAAAGCAGCCCCTAGATATGAGGAAATAGGCAGCAGAGGAATCAAAAGGAGAGAAAACTTTTAGGATTAAAAAACACCCAAACTGTAGGTCAGTAGAAAATGATGAGCGATCTGAAGCAGGGGTAAGGGGCAAACCAAGGAGGAGGCAGGAGCTGTACATGTATTAGTGTTTCCCTGACTGTTGGATTAATTTTCTCAATAGGGCCCCCCTCCCCTTTCCACTCTGGTTCCACTTTGACAAAAACAGGCAATCTGATTTCAAACTTGGAGCCTCTGAAATGTGGAAAACCCTCTCCAGGCTGACAAAAAGGATATAGCTAGATTAAAAAGTAAATGTAATTTAACCCACCCCAGCAGAAATGGTAATCAAATTATATTGCCTCTAAATATGATAAGTTTGGGGCTGGGGCCCTCGGGGGAAGAGAAGGTGTCTTGCAAACACAAAGAAACATGCTAAAGGGAACTGCTAAATCAATGGATGAATTGTGACTTCTACCCTCCCTCCCTCCCACAGGGTACTTGATAAGCTGCTGATTGCTTCTACCACCAATGTTAGGAACTGATTAAGCAGCTTACAAAGCACTGGGGGCTAATAGACAGGCCCACCAGGGAGACTGCAGCTCTGGAGTTAAGTAGCTTGCTTTTTCATGGCTTGATTATTAAAGATGAGATAGCAGGACATGCTGAAAAGATGTGGAAACAGTTTTAGACCTCAAATGACTGGCCTTTCATTTTATATATGGAATCATTTCTACCCTGTGACTTCACCAGCCAACAAAAGCCATGCTTTCCTGCAGTTCTGTAGTCTCCAGCTCTGAGGGGCCTCTGAACTACCTCAACTTAAGTGTGTCAACTGAACATCCAGAACTGACTACACTACGCGTTATCCTGCAGAAAAAGCACCATTAGACAAGGGAAACATCAGTGGAAGAAGCTGAAAATAATGTGTTTTACATCTCACTGACAATGGCACTAGAGTGTGAACACAGACATGCCCAGGTCAGCTAGCACATCTTACCCCATCACTTCCTCCACTATGCATCTGAGCACTGCAGGATATTCACCTTAGATTCCCTAACCTTTCTTTTCAGCTATTTATGCCAAATTCTTCTTGTTTAATCTGGTACGTAATAAAACTCTGCTGTTCAGGCACATGTACTGCAAGGTGCTTGCTTAGTTCAATCAATATCAACTCAAAGACATGTTTTGCTGGCACATTACCTCTTCTGTGGTCATGTCTCTCATAGTAACACTGCATGGCTTAACTGTGTGCAGCAGGCTTGCTAGGTTTCTGTGGGGTTTATTTTTTACTTTTTCCCTTCTTGTGGTAATGCCTAGCAGAATTGTAAATAAGCATATTGCATTAGGAATTGTACAAACTCATAAATTCCCGAGTAACTATTCTTGCAAGCAAGCAAGCAAGCAAGCAAGCAAATAAATAAATAAATAAATAAATAAATAAATACTACTTGGCGCCTGTAGGCTGAGCCTTAGATGAGCCTTCACTGATCACATGAAAAACTCGTTACAGCAAAGTTCTCTGTGCAGACTACATGGGGTTTTTTCACAGCCTCTTTCCAGCCCCATTTCAACACTGACACTCTAGGCTTTCTCGCTCTCATCCCTAACCAATGCCCCTGTTAACCCATTTTTATATTAAACTATAAATCACACAGATGGCTTGGAAGTAAAGCTCTTTATGCTATGATTAGCTAGAAGGGGGTGTACAATTAGCACTGAAGATGAGAACAGGCTTGATCTGTAAGAAGTAGAATTAGTTGATGAACTTACCTGCTGAAGGTCTGCAAGAGAATACAGATGGATTTGCTGGAGAAGATACTCTCTGGGAAAGATCCTGGAAAAAAGGAAAAATGGATGTGTCACACCTCACACTCCAAGATTTCCTCTCCCCAACAAAAGACTGCAGAACAATGATGCTAGACAGTTTGTCAGAAACTGGAATTATGTCACCTCGTAAGCACCAGCTACTTTTACAACATTCCTCATGGGCACAATTCCGTAGTAAGAATAAATGCTGTACCAGTGTCATTCTCCAACTGTCAGGGAAGCACGTACCACGACATTTACAGCCATTGAAAGCTCATCCTGAGCACAGAAGGTGTTTCTTTAAACAAATAACCCAATAATAAAACCAAAAAAACTCAAACTACACATTAGAAGTATTTCTTATGGTTTTTAGTAGAAGATTCCTGGTCTGCTAGAAAGCTGTAAAAGTTAATTTCAGATGTGATTTATGGTTTTGCAACTGAAATAACTATATTGGGAGAAAAGTAATGCGGATACTGTTCTTCCAGCATAAAGTTGATTGATATTAATTCCCTTTTGCATATAGAAATATATGTATTGGTATAGACTTTATAATTACTTCCTTGGGAAAGGTTTATCTTCCTCATATAAACCAAGGTTTCAGGCAAGACCATTGATTATCCACTGACAGACCTGTTCAGTAAAGCTAAATTACAAAAACCTGAACAGAGATGCCCTAATTAGAGTGACTTGCAATAAAATGAAAAATTGAGTTAAAGTAACATTACAGAGAAAAATGGACCTTGGAAAGGTAAGTGGATATTAGCAGGAAAAGTTTATGAAAACCTATGTATCTGCCATAAAGACATCAAGAAAAAGGGCATCTAATTAAAGTGTCTATCTTTGTCTCCACACACAGAGAAACAACCAGCTGACCAGCTTTATTTTCTATCCACAATATAACACCACACTAAGGTATCATGGGCAGTGGAGAATCACATCGCTCTTGAAAAAAAGCAGACAAATAACTCAAGAGGTGCAACTATTTTACACCTCATGTTGCTTAGCGAAGAAATTGTGAATTCAGTTCCTACATTACAATCATGTAGTTTTAAGGCAAGACAGAAACAAGATTCTTGATATTATTAAATGCATGAACAAAGCTCTGGCAAAGACTGCTTTGTAATGGTAGAACTGAATGGCAGTGAACAGAAAGACCACCGGACATGTTCAAAAAACAAAGATGCTGAAAGGCTGATATGAACTTACATGAGCATGATATGAGAGTAATGAGAAAGTACACAGAAACTCACAAGAGATTTTAGAAGCTGCGGCAGCATAATTAGCTAACACACAGATCAGCAGGGATAACAGCATCAACTGCAAACTTTGACAGAACACTTCATCTAAAAAATAATGGAAGCACCTTGGTTCATTCTACTCCAATAGTTATCTTCAACAGCTGTCTTAAACTGATGCTTTTAAAGCTGTCTTCGAGGGACTAGGACTTTTCACTGATGCTGAGCGGTACAAAGTTTCATAATCCTTTTGTACTTTAAAAAAAAAAAAATCTAAGCTTTACTGGGGTGGGACAGGAAGAGTCCTACAAGCAAGGCACGGACAACTGGGCACTGTCAATCTTAGGGCATTCTTCTGGAGCAGGACCATGCTCTTGCTTCTTCTGATTCACCAAGCATGTCCGCTCTACCCACCTAATTCTCAACTGCAGTCTCACTGGGATACTGCATTTTCCCCTTTCAGTTCTCTAGGCTATACCATCATTTCTACTAGAGGTGAACATGTTTCAGTGCCTCTCTTGCATCACACCTTCATAATCTATTTGGCACAATGTCAAAAACCACTAGAAAACAGTCAAAATCCAGATATCAGACAACATATGACACTGGCATTCCTCGTTTGCAAATGTAAGATTTATTAAACTTGATTGCTAAGGGGTCAACTCTAAACAGCATTTTGAAGCCATTAGTATTTTTTAGCTCTGATAGAATTTCTTTCATTAAAATTTCCCCATCATTCTCCCCTGATCACACAGGCAGACACTAAACAGTGCAGTAGCTTTGCCAGGAACTGTATTATTTGCTGATGCCCATACAGCACTGCTAAGGAAAATAATTAGCTAATGAAAGATTTCCTTTTTCAGGAAATAGCCTGAATAGCCCATAAGGCAGAAACTGTCAACGACCAGTATGGATGACTAACATCATGTTCCCCTGCCTTCAAGGACTGCATTTTATTTCCTGCAAGTCCTAACTCCTAATAGAAAGTGTGCAGATGAGAAGCAAACTCATGATCGAGGGACTTCCTTTGTTGGGGGTGGTGGTGGTGTCTAAGACAGCCACATGGCCTGGTGACAGTCATCCTCTCCCGGTACCCGTCCCCCTCCCTGAGATATGTTAGTTTGCTGCAGCAGCTCTGCACACCCAGCATCCAACAGTCCTCCTCCCTTACAAATCTATTTCCAGGAAAAGAAGTAGGCACTGCCCTCCCAGTCTTAGGCAAGACGCACACACACATGCATATCTGACACTCGAGTGAGAGGAGTGCTTATTTCCATTGCTATGGAAACTGAGGCATAAAAAACCCCTCAGTAAGCAAGGCTGGTCCAGGTTCAGATTTGCAGTCCTCCTATTTACTCAAAATATCACATTTTGGCTGTGGAGGGCCAAGAAAAATATCTGAAAAGCCAGAGCTCGCATGTACAACAGCATTTACAAAATTTCTTATGAAGCAACCAGACCTGTTGGTTCCCAATACATGTGAAGGTGCAAAACACTCCCTCAACACCTGCCCACGTCACCCAAGGTGGAGAGCACACAGCTCCATGAGTGTGAAACCACTGAAGTCACCTACAAGTAGGCACCTCAGTCCCTGATCACTCAAAATATAAATGATGTGCCCTCACCACACCTGTGGTGAGCTGAGAAGCTGTTTCAAACACACATCTTGCTGTGCTGCACATCTGCAATTAAGATCTCTTCCAGAAAACTTCTACTAGTCCCATTTGAAAAGAAAAACCCAGACTCAACAGCTACCTGAACATAACTTGTGAAGCTACCTCCCCCCAAAATGCACCTGTTAATTGCCAGTTTTGACAGCCTCTAGTGGGTCAGGAACAAGAGCATGAGTTGCTAGAATATAAAATTCAAAAAACATTTTCAAGAAACTTCATAAAATGCAAGCAAATCAGTTGGGGCAGGAAATCCACACAGACCAAGTAGTCCAGTGAGCACGAAAATGAATGACAAGACAATTTCCAATAGCTTGTTTGTCTGCACAGGTTCTCTGAGCCTAATGAGGTGATGGCTTACATCAAGTCTTTTTCAGTAGGGGGCACAGAGGACTAATTCAGAGCCTCTTGCTTCTTGACCAAGACACTTCCTCTCATGTAACTAGTAGGAACATAATGTCTCTGCCACTTCCATCTCTGTGTCAACTACAATTGAAATTGGCCAAAGGAAGCCAAAGTCAGTAGAGTATAGCAGGAGAGGTGGGGCTCATGTATACACCACACCATTGCATCAGCATCCAGACAAGGTACTACATGGCATCCAAATCAACCTAAAATCATATTCATGTCTAAAAACCTGACACAGATCACAGAGCAGGCTAAGATAACTACACTTAGAAACATTTCACTAGAAAATACGTGCTTAATTCCTGCATGAGATGGAGCTTTGAGCATGCCTGGGTTAATATAAGGCCTTGATCCAAAAAGACTAAAACATGTGCTTGCATTTTATTTTTCCTTTGATATAAAGGTCATTTACAAACACCAAATGGAAAAGTTCTGATAAGTTATTTGAAAGCAAAATAAAAGATGTCAGTTTTGTAACGCTTCTGATCACTGTGGTGTAACGACCTGGTTGGTTTTTTTTTTGTTTTTTCAGTCAAATCTTAACACAAAAAAACTGGAGTGAGCTACACAGAGGTCATAAGCAAGATGTTAAGACTCATCAAAACAAAAATTCAAACCTCTGCTGCTTCAGAATGTGACCTGTGACCCTTCAGAGGCAAGTGGTATTGAGTGCACATCCCACTAAAAGCACCTCCTAAGCTTTCACAGTTTGGAAACTCCCAGACCAGTTTCACCATCGATGCAAAACAGAACAGCTGTGAGTCACAGGATTGCTGAGCTGTAAACCCTGGCTACCAGTCAGGTTTAAGCCTACAATGAACAAACCAAGTTCAATGCTAACCAGCCCTCTAGCTTTGTCAGTTCCTGTGAACAATGAAATCCAAAGTCCTACTGGTTAAAGGTCTCTAAATTGCTTTATTGTTATGGGCTAGAAATAAAAGTAATCAATGAAAGCAGGAAAGAAACCCACGAATGGAGACTTCTGGTCCAACTAAAAAAGAAAATTGAGCCATCTCAGTTTGTAATTATTATTCTTTTTTGTCTGATACTTTGTAATTTGAAGCATAACCTTCAGGCAAGACAGAACCAAAAATTTCATCCGTTCCCTTTCAGATGATCTTATCAGGTGAGTATTTGCACAAACAAAGGTTATCTTCTAGTGTCCTCCTGCAAACAGAAACACTGATAAGACTTTGCTTTTTGCATTTGGACAAAGTGTGTAGTCATGGTGCTTTGTTAGCACTAAGTAATTGCTCTGCATTTAAAGCCTGTTTATCATCAGTTTAGGTAATTTTTCTCCAACGGGTTAAATACCCTGACAGCTCTGCTAAAGCTACAACTAATTAATCTGCCCAAGCTTGACACTATAACCAAAGTACAAACGTGATAAGCAGAGCGAACTCTTCATTTTGCAGCGCAATCAAAAGAAATCAAGTTAGCTGGCAGGTGGGCACAACCAAGCCTCTTTTGTACCAAAAAGCCTGTTGAAACCTAGGATGGGAGAGGGGAGGGGAAGCTAGCACCACGATTTCATGTGCCAGCTAGGAGTGTCTTGTTTCCCCAGGTTGAGAACTGACTGACTGAGCTGTGACTCAGGGCCGAGGCAGATGCACCAGTCTAGCACGCAGGCACCCTGAGCGGTCCCCTCCAGCCCTCTGCAGGAAGCTGCTACACCCACAGCTGGCACAGCACTCCAGGTACCAAGTCCGTGT